CGTCACCACAACTTACCAAGCCACAATTCAAGCTCATTTGTATATTTATCCATCAGAAATTCGGTCTCGCAACCGGGACACAATAGAATTTCCGTGGATCCCGAAAGTAGCCTCACCAGTCCAATCCTCTCCAAACAATAAGGACAATTGGGAATGCTTGGAGTGTCACGGCGGCCGATAAGAAACATTTTAATTTTAAAAAATTAAATTTCGTTCCATGTACCAGTTTGTTTCGAACGCCACCAATCCTCCCTCTATAATATACATTGGAAAAGATAAATATGAAAATGACCAGCTAATTAAGCATGGATATGGCGAAAATGATGTTTGGTTCCATGTGGATCGCCTCTCAAGCGCTCATCTTTATCTCAAGCTGATCCCTGGTTTTGCGTGGGACAATCTCCCACAAGAGCTGCTAATCGACTGTTCTCAATTGGTCAAGGCAAATTCCATCGAGGGTACCCCTTGCTGTCTTACCATAGGAAATAAGAAAAATAACGTCGACATTTTATATACCCCATGGAATAATTTAAAGAAGACCCAGGGAATGGAGGTCGGAGAAGTCGCATTTCACAAGCCCAACCAAGTCAAACGATTCCACGTAGAAAAAAAAGATAATGCCATCCTTAATCGACTGCAAAAGACAAAAACGGAATACACAATTGATTATGAGCAGGAAAAAATTGCCAGAGAAAAGGGCCTTCGAGCCCTCCAAAAAGACCAGGAAAAAGCAAAGGTGACCTTATTTCGAGCTTTTATTAACCAACTAGAAAGCGGAAAACATCGGGATTCAAAATGCAAAAAGGGCTCAAGAGCAAATAACCTCATATGGCGATATTTTTCAACAACAAAGGCTGCCTATTTCTCGGGCACTCGATTTTTCCGAAACAGACATCCACCAGTATGAAGACGAGCTTTTTATGTAATCCCAGCGAATGCTCCCCTGTCCTCTCGCCCAAGTGCCTACATAAATCAAATCGCAATAAAGCCTGCCATTTTAAAAAGGCCAAACGACAACCAACGGCGAGATATTATGATGGAGCCCACTGAAACATTTTAAAATACGTAAGATGCAAGCAGTTAAAACCGGGGTC